ACAAAGATCTCTGCCCTTGTGGAGTTTCTACTGTCCTTCTATTCAGTTTGAAATTAGTGAGTGTGGAACATACCAGTAATTTTATTTTTTGCAATCATCTGCAATAAATCTTATGAGCATCATACGTAATTTCTCATATAGATGTGTGGAAACTGAAAGTACACAGAAAAATTTAAATACAGTAGTCTTTGTGAGCACTGTAAGCAAGCACCATAAGCCTATAAAAATTATTTCTTCCAAGAATCAATAACCAATAAGTAACTGAAATGGCTGTGCCTGAAAAAAATGGTGGCTTTCTTTATATCGACAGTTTGGCCCCTCTGAACCTGCAAGATAACAACTTCTATTCAAACTTCAGGAGGTTTTCACTATCAGGGGACAACTCAAATTTCACTATCATTTATAATTAGAGGATCTTTTAGATTTTTTTTTTTAAAAAAGCAAAATGAAACAGAAAAAAACTCCTAGTCAACTGATAAAATTTTAAATGTCCTAAAAGTAGTGTATATTCAAAGTATTTCTAGTTATCTACACATTAGACAATTGGCTAGTTTAGACAAACTATATAGACATGCACTGTCCAATATGGTAGCCAACTGCCACACTTAAAATATGCCTAAATTAAAATGAGCTGTAAGTGCCCTAGCTGGTTTTGCTCAGTGGATAGAGCATCGGCCTGCGGACTGAAGTGTCCGGGGTTCAATTCCGGTCAAGGGCATATGCCCGGGTTGCGGGCTCTATCCCTAGTAGGGGGCATGCAGGAGGCAGCTGATCAATAATTCCCTCTCATCATTGATGTTTCTATCTATCCTTCCCTCTCCCTTCCTCTCTGAAATCAATAAAAATATACTTTTTAAAAAATGAGCTGTAAGTATAACATACACACTGGAGAAAAAGAATGTAAAATATCGCAAAAATTTTTAATATTAATTACATAATAAAACATTTTGAATAAAGTAAGCAAAAATATATTATTAAATTCTTCTTTTACTTTTTTTTTGGTTAATCTTCACCTGAGAATATTTTTTCCATTGATTTTTAGAGAAAGTGGAAGGGAAGGATGGGGGGGTGGGAAGGAGGGAATGAGGGAGGGAGTGAGGGAGTAAGGGAGGGAGAGGGAGAAACATCTATATGAAAGAGACAAATCAACTGGTTGACTTCCACATGCTTCACTCCCCAAAGGCTTGAACCTGCAACCCAGATGTGTGCCCTTGACTGGGAACAGAGACCGAACCTGAGCTCTAACCACCAGCCAGAGCATCTTTTACTTTTTTAATGTGGCTACTAAAAAATAATATCTTTGTAGCTCACATTTTTTTTTCCTTTTGGACAGCACTAGATTAAGACAATATAGACTTCTAAACCTGCACACAGAGCTAATACATGTTAGAACTGTACTCAGAATTTTATACTTATTTATTTATTCATTTCTAACTTATACTGTTCAACAAACCATATAAAAATAATCAAACATATCAAACATTTTTATATCAAAATGCAAAAGTCTCAGAATCTAAAGTGAAATTGTTTAGCAGAGCACTCGCAAATATGAGGGTGGCCACTTGTGTAGGACATTCAATCCATAAAGTAATTTGTTCTGCCACCCTTGAGCAGCAGAAGGGTCACATATTCTATATATAGCTAATATGTACTGTGCCCTTAGTGTGCCTGGCACCGTGCTAGGCGCTTTACTCACATTGACCCATAAAACCCTCATAACTATCCTATGCGGTAGATACTATCATAACACTAAAGAAGAAACTGAAACAGAGAGATTAAGTAACTTGCCAAAGTGCCAAAGTCCCATTAACCTGCCAAACAATTCCAACCCAGCAGGCTTTATCCAAAACCATCACATATTTTCCCACGTAAAAGGACTACACAAAAACATTATGTCATTATCTTACAGGATTATGTTTTAGTGGAGTGTGCACCCATTACAAAAAAGAGTGGAGTAGTTGGAGTTAATGCTTTGTTTCCTGCTCTCCACCCCACCCTTTTCAATGGCAGGTTAAAGTTGATCACATGAATTAAATCCCTGATCTTACTACAGGTTTCTTCTACCATCCCTTTCCCAGAAAGGCTCTATCCCACCCCTCTAGTCCAATTCCTATCTGTCATTCAGGCTTTATTTTATTTTAGAGAAAACGAGGAATTGAGAGATAGACAGAGACAGACATCGATTTGTTGTTCCACCCATTTATGCATTCACTGGTTGTCTCTTGCATGTGTCCTGCCCGGGGATCAAGCCTGCAACGTTGGCATATGGGGATGACGCTCTAACCAACTGAGCGTCCCAGCCAGGAGGCTTCCCAGGGGTGGGCAAACTTTTTGACTCGAGGGCCACAATGGGTTCTTAAACTGGACCGGAGGGCCGGAACAAAAGCATGGATGGAGTGTTTGTGTGAACTAATATAGATTCAAAGTAAACATCATTACATAAAAGGGTATGGTCTTTTTTTTTTTTTTTTTAGTTTTATTCATTTCAAACGGGCCGGATCCGGCCCGCGGGCCGTAGTTTGCCCACGGCTGTTTTAACATCATCTCCATGCACGCCAACACAGACTTTCCACAATTGAGGCTAGTCACCCCTCCTTTCTATGCTTACCCCTAATGTAGCACTTTGCACACTCCAATGTGGCTGTCCTCACTAGACTGCCCCTAAAGGGGTCTCTTATCATCACTTATCAGCAGTGCCTACAACAGTGCCCAGCATTACGTACTCGATAAATGTTTGCTTGACTATCTAATCACCTAACTCACCCAGCTACAACTGAAGTGGAATATTAAAAGTAATCTTAGTGGTAGGAGTGCTAACCCACAGGCAGACACAAGTTCTAAGTTTCACTAAATTTATGAGAGGTCAAGAGAACAGTAAAATACTCAGGAAACAATTATTAGGCTGTCACTCCCCCTCCAAAAAAAGGGGAACTAAATAAAAATCTATTTTAAATGATCACTTGCTCAATTCAATGTCAATACAACTTATGAGAATGAATTAAGTAGCTGATATATATGTCATAAGAGATACAAATCAACTTCAATAATGCTATAAATTGTATGAAATCAGCTTAAGCTTGATAATTTCCCGAGTTCAAAGAAGACTGCAGTTACTTTTAAAAATCGTCTAAACATAAATCTAGTTACACTAAAAAAATAAAAATAAAAAATAAAAAAACACAAAAAACCAAAAAGGAGTTTCACTGCACTGTCCCAAGACTGAGTGCGGGCCTTCAAGGGACAGAAGCAACCAGGTGTCCTTTAAGGTATTTACAGGGGGCGGGATTCGCACACAATCCATTCCACACAATTTGTGTGAATGCCACTAACTGTTCCCACCAGGGTCAACAGGGACTTTCCTAGAGCCTTCCCTTTTCTTTTCCTCAACGGGGAACCGATTTAAAAAAAAAAAAGGGTCCATCTTCAGAATCACAGTAATTCTGAAACATGAGGTGAAAGTACATGGGAAGCCCTCTAGGGCTATGACTGGCAAAATACTGACCTGCAAGTTCTAGCGTCAAGTCAAACAGAAACTTTTGGGGGAGAGAGGGAGAGAGAGAGAGAGAGAGAGAGAGAGAGAGAGAGAGAAAGCAGATCCCCTCCCCTGAGACTGCTGCTCTGCCGTCGTCCCGGAAAGCTCAGTGGAGGCCGGCAGGCCAGGGTCCCACCCCAAGCACCGCGAGCCTCTGATTGTTTGACACATCAATGAATCGGTCACCTGAGGCCCAGCTCCCCTCTCCCCTCTCCCCTAAAGCTTTAGCGATTCCTCCCACCAACCCTCAAGTTTACTCGAAGTCATGGCCATATGGAATCTTCTCTTTACCCTGAAGTACAGACCAGGCCTTTGCCAAATGACCACCACTGGCCGCTCCCAACGCCACCACTAAAATCCAGCCCGTACCGACACCGACATCTGGGAAGGCCACATGGGTATGGAAAAGGCCAGTCCGGTCGCTTAAAGGCACAGTAACCTGTGGGAGCTGCCCATTTTGTACCAACGGGCACCGAGCGAGCAGAAAGGGAGACGCGGACGCAGGAGGCCGGACAGAAAGCCACGGGGAGACCCCGCCCCGGGGAGCTCGATGCCGATTCAAACACAGTAACTTGGGTCTGTCGCCCGGGATGGGAATCACTGAAACAAAGGCGTCTATTCCGGGAAGCAAGATGTCCGGAGTGAAAAAAGAAACGGTTTGCAGCCACGCAGGCCACACGCCGTCCTCCCACGGGTCTTACCTATGGTGGAAATAAAGGTGGTATTGAAGGCATCGTCCGAAAAGCGGAAAAGGACGCAGGTCTTCCCCACGCCCGAGTCCCCGATCAGGAGCAGCTTGAAAAGCAGGTCGTACGTCTTCTTCGCCATTGGGAGGAGCGGCTCCGGCGCTCGCCGCGGGCGGCCCCCAGGGATCGGTCCCTCTCACTAGGGCCAACTCCTCGCTCGGGTGTCCTCAGGCCGGAGCACCGGGGAAGCGTGGGAAAAAAGGAGGGCTCGAGAGGGCGCGGGCGACCTCCGAACGGCCTCGTCGAGGAAGCACCGACGGTGGCGGCGTTCGGCGCTTCCGAGGGCGGCGACCGCGGCTTCGCAGCCTCTCCCAAGCCGCTCTGCCCGGTTCCGGGGAGTCGGTCGGGACAAAATGGCCTCCCCTCCCCCCTCAGGGCTGCTCGGCCGGGACGCTCCCACGGGCGAGCCAGCGAGCTCGGCCGTCGAGGGAGCGCGGAGGGCGTGAAGACAGTCTCTCTCCCGAGCCGAAACTCCGCGCTAGGGCACGGCGATGGCAGCCAAGGAGGACCCCGAGCCGAGAGCTCAGCTACATAGCCACAGGAAGCCGAGCCGCCCGGCCAGAGCCACCTTTTCCCCGTGCCCTCTCACGCCGGCGTGCGCGCTGCCTGACTCACGCAGGGACGTAGGCCCGCCCTTCCCTCGCGCCCTCGTCCTGCGGGCCGCCTCTGCGCACGCGCGCCAGGGGCTGTGGGGGCAGCCGGGGCGGGGGGCGGAGCGCTGGGTCTCCGAGCCTCAGCCTCAGGCCCGACGGAGACGAGAGGGGCGGGGCGAGAGAGGGCGAGGCCGCGGGCGCGCTCCCTGCGGCCGCCTGATAGGGTGCGCGGCGGCACGAGCACGCCCCGCGCGGGTGGCGCTGCGTAGTAACTGCGCAGGCGCGGTCGGCTGGCGTAGCCCCTTCACCCCCTTCTCCCTCCCGGGCTCGCCCTGCCCGCTGCGAGGAGGATGCCCCGGGCTGTGTGTCACCGGGTGTCGAGCTGCTTTTGGCGCGGCGGCCGGCTTGGTGGCCCTGGGTTCCTGTGTAGCTGAACCTCGTAAACGCGGCGCCTCGGTCATTTAATACTTGGCTGACACGCAGCGCATCCTGGCGTGCCCTCCGTGGTGGGCTAGTCGTGACAGGGGGAACGTTAAAGCTACATCCCGTTTGACTTAAGGAGCAGGAGTTGGCGTTCGAGAGCTTTGACATGGAAAAGCTGGCCACGCTGCTCTGGCTGGCATGATGTCATCCTCCAGGGCGAGGCGTGGAAGGCTGAGGGACACCCGGGCGCCGGGAGAACCCGCCCACCACGTGGAACCTTCGGCGCGGTGCTGTCCATGGAGAACCCGCTCCGGGCCTGGGCGTCCACTTAGAATACGGAGAGCCCAAGGGCGCTGTACCGAGCAGGCAGGTCCCCTCCCTCCCGCCAAAATCGAGCCGCCGGTGTCCAAAACTGGAGCATAGCGAAGCCAACCCCAACCCCACACGGTCTCTTCTTGCACTTTCTTTCCATACGCCTTACATCCTTCCTCTCTCCCATCAGTCTTATTTATAACGACTACCCTTTACTCTTCCTCCTTTCTGTAATTTAAATATTCATGCTCCAGCCCAGGCCGGCGTGGCTCAGTGGTTGGGCCTGGACCTATGAACCAGGAGGTCAGGGTTGGATTCCTGGTCAGGGCACATGCCCGAGGTGTGGGCTTGATCGCTTGTGGGGCGTGCAGGAGGCAGCCGACCAATGATTCTCTTATCATTCATGTTTCTCTCTCCTCCCTTCCTCTCTGAAATCAATCAATCAATCAATCAATCAATCGTCACTCCTGCCCTACCAGTATCCGTGTGCTTCATGGCTCCAAAGCACAGCTAGGATGGCAGAGTAGTTGAACCTGGGCTGGTTCCACCTGACACAGGGGAAAACGAAGACATCTGATAGCAAGAAACGGTATTGAGAACTACGTTTTTACACACACACACCCCCACCACCAAAATGTTTGTGTATTTAATATGTAACTAAAATTAGTCCTTCAAGGGATTAATCATATCTCAGTCACCCATTCTTTAAAGACTTGTTTTGCGTTCTTCCTTCAAAATGACCCCTTAAGCTTCATTACTAAAGATGCTTGTCTTCTCTAGTACATCTTGCTCTTCAGTTTGTTTCTATGCTTGCTCTTTTTAGTCTTGTCATCGAAACGTCCTTTCTTTCAACTGGGAATGTCTTATTATGATAAGGCCAACAATTCTAAAATAGGCGAGCTATGGGAATCACAAAATGAGCGATGGTCGGTGCTTCTCAGTTTTATTATCAACTCAGAATCAACCCTGAGCACCTCAGGAATATCTTGTTAGCTTGATTCTTTCAAAATAAGTTCTATTAACTCAAGCCACAGTGTTGTAAAGCATTTTAGAATTGTTATGGTTTTTAAATGTAGAGAGCCTAATTAATTTTCCTATATAAATTTGGGGGGTAATGGGCAGGCAAAAACGAAAAACTTTTAAAAAGCATTCTTTATACCGTGTTTTCAGCAGTTTCATTAATTAGAGCCTTTTCTCCATTGACTCCAAACTTTAAGAAACAATTATCACCCAGTCGGCGAGGCTCAGTGATTGAGCACCAACCTATGAACCAGGATATCATGGTTCAATTCTCCGTTGGGGCACATGCCCATATTGCGGGCTCAATTGGTGCAGGAGACAGCCGATCAATGATTCACTCCCATCATTGATGTTTCTGCCTCTCTCCCTCTCCCTTCCTCTCTGAAATCAATAAAAATATTTTTTAAAAGAATTATACTTCTTAATAAAATTTATTTATTATTGAATTAGGATCTTAGAATTTTAGGGCTGTCATATCTTATAAATCATAATTTAACTTGTGCTTGTAATTTACAGATGAGTCTAAGGCTCAGAGAGGTTAGGGACTTGTCAGAAATCATACTGTTAGTGGCAGAGCCAACACTATATGGGCAAGGGGAAGGAGAAGCAAACCTCCACAGGACACCATATTGCCTGAAAGTGAGACTTGGAAGGCTCTGCCAATACTTAATGTTTGGCTTCTCTACAGTTAATTAAACCTTTTGCTGGAGTGAGGCCTAAGCCCCGAGCCATATCTACCACTGAAGGCAGCTGGAGTGATCAGGCATGGAAGATCCCCTGACTCTTGAAAAAAAGAATAAAATGGGGATCTATGTAGGCCTAAAAGGTAAACCTAGAGTTGTGAAGTAATATTTGAAAAAGTTTCAAATTAAATGAAAGAAAGTGCCAATTTAGTACTAGCTTAGGGTTTATGCCTTTTTCAAAATTGCTCTGCAAAAAATCTAGTCCAAATATTTGCAAAGCCAAGAAAGAAAATTGGTATATTTATATGTTTATAGTATTAAGGTGTTATTTCTATATTTTTCTAGAAAACGCACAGCTGGCTGGCTCATAGTTCCAATCTTCAGCATCAACTCTCAGGACCTGCTTTATAAGAAATCTCTGCCTCAAGAGGTATTGACTCTGGGTCATCTTTATCCCTCTTCCTGTGTATATTTTCCAGTCTCTGTACCTGATTTCTTCCTCCTTAATCTCTCTGCCCCTTGCTCTCTCTGTTCTTCTTAAGAATGGAGTCTTCCTTTGAATGGTAGCCCCACTGCTATGTCATCACGTTGCTATAAAACCTCAGGGACTTAGCCTCTTTATATACTGCCTATTTGCTATGTCCGTATTCCCAATCATCTCCCAGGGACTTCCATGAGATACTAACTGCTGATTGCCAAGAGGCTGCAACTTTTCATATCACCATAGCCTGCCAGTATCCTGCTCTGTCTGCATATCTTGATTTAGTCATACCTCCTGTTAGAGAATTTTTGCCCCTTGAGCCTTCCCCAGCCCACCTGATGTGTTTGTGCTAGTCTCCTCCAGGGATACCTCAGTGTTGGCCTCCTCAGTTGGCACTTAAGGGGCTTCAGGCCCTAGCCAATGAGCTTTATTTCCTATCCTAGCTTTCACACACTAGTCTCCAGACAAGATGAACTAGTCCTCTTTTTCACAGTTACTATATATCTGCTTGATTTCATGCTTAATTTAATGTGGTTCTCTCTATACAAAATGCACTCTCCTCACCCCAGCTACATCTCTTCAGTTTTCAGCTTAAATGTCCTCACCATAGCCTGTCTTCCCAACACTCTTGCGCAGAAAATCGTATCTCACTTTTAGATATCAATTATGTTTCCCCCTTTTATTTCACAAGTAATATATATTTATTCTTAGATACTTAGAACCTGCCAATAAGCAAAACAAAAATTTGTAATTATTAAACTCCTACCTCCAACCAAAGGGACAGTTACCAGAGGGAGGGAGGGTGAGAGGGTACAAAGGAGAAGGGAAATATAGTCAATAATATTGTGATAAGTTCACACAGTGACAAATGATTACTAGAATTAATGGGGTGATCACATTGTAAGGTATAAAAATGTCGAATCACTATTTTGTATACCTGAAACTAATATAATCAATATAAGATTGTATAGCAACAATACTTAAATAAAAAAAAATAAATTTAAAAAATAGAAAACACTTCTACCCCCAGAGATAACCACTATTAGTATTTTGGTGAATAGCCCTATGGATATTCTGCCTATTGCTCTCTAATTAGACATATCTTATGACACATTTTCTACATTTTATGAAAGATACTTATGGGCATATCTTATTTTCTCAAATTGGAATATTGAGGGGTGTGACTATTGTATATATCACTTTGTACACTGCCTTAAATATACTAGAAAATCAAAACATGCTTATTGAAGGAAAAAGAAAATGAAACTCAGAAAGAGATTCATGTTTTGTTTCCTAGAAAACAATACTAACTTGGAGAAATTTTCAAAATGTTGGGGGGAAGTTGAAAATTCAAAAGTAATGGAAAGATAAAACTGTTGGAGGAATGTTTTACTTATTTATTTATTCATTTATTTAAGAAAATATATGAAGAACTCACCCAACTCGATGATAAAGTTTATTTCTGTGAATAAGAAATACTGTTAAGGCTAATAGAGCAATTGTGATAGTGGAATGAACACTAAGCTGGGAGGCAGAAAATGTACTCACGAACCTGTTCTGTTACTGACTAACTCTGTGACAATGGATGATTCATTTAACCTCACTAAGCATATTTTCTTAATATGTCGAAAGGATATAGTACTTCATGAGGTTGATTCAAAAATTAAACAAGATAATACAAATTAATGTGCTTTATATAGCATAAAACACTATGCAAATATAGTGATTACCATTATTATTAAGAGGTAAGAGTGATGAGCCCTAACTGGTTTGGCTCAGTGGATAGAGCGTCGGGCGGCCTGTGGACTGGAGGGTCCCAGGTTCGATTCCAGTCAAGGGCATATGCTCGGGTTGTGGGCTCCATCCCCAATAGGGCACACGCAGGAGGCAGCCGGCAATGATTTTCTCTCATCATTGATGTTTCTATCTCTCTCTCTCTCTCTCTCTTCCTCTCTGAAATCAATAAAAATATATTTATTAAAAAAAAGAGGTAAGAGTGATGAATTGCACCATAAGGAAAAAGAAAGCAGAAAAATTACAAGTGAGAATACTTATAAATGATCAAAGTGGCAAGCCATACTGGGAGAAAAATGGTCAAAGAAAGTTGAGCTAAGAACAGGAATAGGTGAGAAGGAGAAATGAAAGATTAAAGCTAGAAGAAGCAAGAATTGGAATGACTTGAGTTGCCAAGATTCAAAGGTATCATCAAAAGAAGTAATGAGTCAGGCTGGCACGGCTCAGTGGTTGAGCATTGACCTATGAACCCGGAGGTCACAGTTTGATTCCCAGTCTGACCATATGCCTGGGTTGTGAGCTGGATCCCCAGTGTGGGGCATGCAGGAGGCAGCCAGTCGATGATTCTCTCTCATCATTGATGTTTCTATCTCTCTCTCCCTCTCCCTTCCTGTCTGAAATCAATAAAAACATAAAAAAAAAAAAAAAAGGAGTAATGAGACCAAAAGAAAGAAATTCAGTGGCTAACAGCAGCAGAACCTCACAAACACACGCACTGAAAACTTCATACCGTCAACTCCATCAGATCAATCCCAGCTCACCTATGTTGGAGCAATTGGTTCAGCATAGTGGTTAAAACATGGGCCTGGAGTTGAGTAAACCTAGGGCTCCACATCTGTCTCTTGTGAGATAGAGACCTTGAGTAAGTTACCTAACCTCTCTGAACCTGTTTTCTATTCTGCAAAGTGAAAACAAGATAGAAATTACTGTAGGGTTGAGTGAGGATTAAAGAAGACACTGTCTTTGGCCGTTAGTTAATGTTCAGAAATGTTATTACCAGCACAAGAACTGAGAAAACTTTTTCCATTTGAGGATCAGGGGAGTCCTGACAAAGTGAGGACAGAGGGCTGCTTAAGGAACCCAAATGGAACAGAAATTAATTCAGCTTTAGCTATTTCTCTAGAAAACTGTACCTTCAAGTGTCAAGATCTAGAGACAGATCCATCAGACCTAAAAAGGCAATGACAAAAGAAAATGCTTTAACTCTGTGTGAAGCCAAGAAATATGAAACTACATTTATGACATATAGACTCATGGCATGATATAATGGAGTCACAGTTGAATCCCTGTTCTATCTTGAATCCCTGTTGTAGCTCATTTTAACTGGTCATCTTATATAATTACTACTTACTCGAACTTCAGTTTCCTCATCTGGAAAGTGAGGTTATCAGTAACTACCAGCACAGGCTATGGTGAAAATTAAAATATTTCATGCAAAGAACCTGGCAGTGAGACTAGCAGTTCCTTAAACATTGGTTTTCTTCCCCTTATAACAGTGGTTCTCAACCTTCCTAATGCCATGACCCTTTAATACAGTTCCTCATGTTGTGGTGATCCCCAATTTCATTGTTACAAATTGAACATAATTAAAGCATAGTGATTAATCACAAAAAGAATATGTAATTATATATGTGTTTTCCGATGGTCTTAGGCGACCCCTGTGAAAGGGTCATTCGACCCCCAAAGGGGTCGTGACCCACAGGTTGAGAACCTGCCTTATAAGATGTGAACCATCTGAGGAACTACTGTTGTATCTCTTGTAACACCTAGCCTCCTGTCTTGCATGTAATAGGGGCTCAATAAATATTAATTAGAATCAGTTACTTCTGCATTAGAAGAAATCTTGGAGGCCATCTTAACTAATTTTCTGCTCATGCTCTAACCAATCACAGGCCTGTCCAGCCTCTGTGAATACTGCTTGTGAGCCTCCTGATGCCAAAGAGACTGACTTCTGCCCAGCCAGCGTGGCTCAGTGGTTGAGCATCAACCTATGAGCCAGGAGGTCACAGTTTGATTCCTGGTCAGGGCATATGCCCAGGATGTGGGCTCAATCCCCAATGTGAGGTATGCAGGATGATTCTCTCTCATCATTGATGTTTCTATCTCTCTCTTCATCTCCCTCCCTCTCTGAAATCAATAATATATATATATATATATATATATATATATATTTTGAAAAGGACTGACTTTTGACAGAATGGTGTTCCTATACTGCTCACTATGCTTCCCTGTCACATCACCCATTTGCTTTAACTCTGTCCTTTGAAGCAACATAGAATAAACCTTTTCCCACATTCATGTAGTAGCTCTTCAACTAGTTGAAGATAGCATTGGTATTTTCCTCTAAATTGCTCCAAGTGAACTTCCTTCATATAAGACAGCACACCATTCTGGTTTGCATATGACCCTCTTGGAATGTGGCATGCATAATTGAGCACTGTGCTAGAATTGAGGACTTAACCCTGTGGAAATGCCTGGATCAGGCTAACATTAGTAGGTTATAGAAATAAGGGCCAATTGGGATACTCCCTAAGATTGAGGCGATGTAATCCCTGATTGAGAAGAAACCACCTCCCAGATCAAGCTTACATTGTAACCATTCTTTAAGTTACTAAAACTTTCCAATAAATTATGATAAAAATTACATCTTACATATACAAATTAAAATAGACAAAAGAAAGGATTGGCAACTTACAGAAGTATAAGAAAAATATATGAAGAAATATTCAAACTTATTTGTAATTAGATAAATTTAACTTAAAACAACATTAAGATAGTATTTTCTGCCCATTAGAGTATAAAAAATTAGAAAGATGGATATACCAAGTGTTGGTGAGGATGTAGAGAGATTGAACTCTCATGCGTAGATGGTAGGAGTACAATCTGGTCCAGCTATTCTGCACAGTAATCAGCCAATATTTAATAAAGGATGTGCATGCCTGTGACCCAACAATACCACTCCTGGGTGTGTCCAAGAGAAATTCTCATCATGGCTTTGATTGTGGCAGCTAGATGTTGAAATCCACCTAAGCCTCTGTTACCAGGGGCATAAGTAAATAAAAGGTGGTAGATGCATATTGGTTAGTCCAGGTCCCAAAAGGTCAGCTTGGGTTTGAAAATTGGCTAATAGGGCAACTCAGACCCAAGCCAAGGTTGTTATCACTTCAGTTTTCTAATAAATTAGCAAACAAGCAAAGCAAAAAACAATGTCTTCCTAGTTCCTCACAGAAACAGGCCAAATTCTGGTGATCAGTTCAGGACATTTAGAGGAAAGAAACTGGTCTAATGAGTTCAGAGTCAATTCTAAAGTGTAAGATTAGGCTTGGGGAGGGTTTGGGTCAGCATTCTAGTATCTACCATCTACCGTGTAAGAACATCCTCTATTGTACAGAAAATTGAGCCTATAGCATCCCTGTCCATGGCTTAGCCCACATACTATAAAATCTACACTAATAAAAGAGAAAGATGCAAATTGGCCATACCTTTGTGACGTCCACCAGCCAATCAGGAGTGACTATGCAAATTAACCCAACAAAGATGGCAGGTTAATTTGCATACACAGGCACCTAGTGGCCAGGGGCAGGGCAGGAGGCTTGCATCGTTGCCATGGCAATGACACAGGTGTTCTGCACTGCCCCAGCCACTTGGGGCCTCTGGGCAGCGTGGGAAGGCGGAGAGGTGGCTCCAGCCAGAGGGAAGGCAGTGCTGGCAGCCAGGGGAAGGAAGGCCCATTCTTGCACGAATCTTCGTGCATCGGGCCTCTAGTACTGTATAATAGTAATAAGCTAGTAACCAGCTGCACATACAGCAACATGGAGAACTGAAACAAAAAAAAACAAAAACAGCCCTAGCTGCTTTGGCTAGGTGGATGGAGCGTCAGCCTGCAGACTGAGGGGTCCCAGGTTCGATTCTGGTCAAGGGCACATGCCCGGGTTGCAGGCTCAATCCCCAGTGTGGGGCATGCAGGAGGCAGCCGATCAATGATTCTCTCATATCATTGATGTTTCTATCTCTCCCTCTTCCTTCCTCTCTGAAATCAATAAAAATATATTAAAAAGACAAACAAAACAAAAACAAAATGGTTTATAGTACAATGCCATTCATGTAAATTAAAAACATACAAAACTGTACTTTATGAGGTTTCATATATATTTAATAACATACATCAAGTACATTGGAGCAGGAACCTGTGGAGAGGGAGGGCAATGAGAAGGGGGAAAGGGAAAAATATTAAATGAGATAAAATGAGCAGGACCTCGCACAGATTAAAAATGTCAGTGGTTAGTGTGCTAAGAAGCGAGGATGGTTAATTCATTGCTCTTTCTGCCTCCCAGATCTAAATTTTTAAACAAAACAAAAGTGAGGAAGGGATTAAATAGTACATGGAGATAGAGGAAATTTATATTGATGTGCCTTACATATGTCAGATTAATAGCAAAGTGAGAAAAAAACTAAATATTTGATTTGGTTTGATAAAAAGAATACAGATTCTAACTTGTCTGCTTTTATGCCTAATTGCAACGTAACATAACATAGTTATGCAAATTTAAAAATTTGTGACAGATTTGTTTGATCACATTGATTTGATTATGGAAGCTCAGACTTCATGGAATTGTCTGTTCATGAAGCTTGGTGCTCAGCTCTCAGCTGTCACCTGTCAGCCCTTGCCCCGCCCTGTCTGGTTCCAGCTCTTTGGACTAAGCACCCAGTTATTTACAGGCTGCCCCACCTCTTTCCTGGAGCCAGAAAGAGGTAGAAGCTCAGGGTGTCAAAAGCCTTCATGCTACATACAAATTGAATTAGACACGTCAAGATTAATACCTGAGCGCAACCATTTATGTTGTCCAAAATACCCCCAAGAGGAAGCCCGGCCCTTGCCCATGTAGCTCGTGCATCCAGCGTTCCACTGCCTTTTGTCCTGCCTTGGGTCATTGGTGTCCCTGACAGCCAAATGGAGATCCTGATTCTTTGCCTTGTTCCTACCAGTGCCGGGCTCCCAGCCTTCACCCATATTCACTCACCTCCTTGAGTAATGAACATTTTCCAGATCTTTGGCTGCCCAGCATTGAATTTCCTTCCTTTGACTAGGAAACTCCACCACAGATTTTCAGTATGCAGACCCCTCCTCCCACTGTATTCCCTTCCTCAGTACCCACTTCACATTGTCCCCCTAAATACACATCTAGGCTGTGGAGACATGAGCTGGGCTCTACCAGTCTGATGCACCAGCCTAAAACCCTGACACAGGGGTTAAGGACACAAAAGAGGAGGCACCGTGGAACATGTACTGAGAGGGCAGTAGGGTACGGCAGCAGCACTGGGTTTCCAGGGCTCCTGTGTATAATATAATATAATATGATAGGTTATATTGTAATTGATAATATAATCCCCAGAGCCGGATGCTATCCCAGGTCCAGTGCTGGCCATAGCTGTGCTCCGGGCTGCAGAATCTCTTGGTTTCCAGTGGGGACAGTGATGGCCTCATTGTCTGGCCTCAACAGACTGCATCTGTGGTCTGTCTCTGCCCCCCAATACTTCAGCCTGGTTATCCAGTCTTCCCAATAATTCTGAGAGCTTCCCAACAGCCTTTCAATAAATTTATTTTCTGCTTCTATTTGCCAAAGTGTATTTGTGTTGCAGTAGAACTCCTATGTAACTTCAATTTTGCCTGGTATTCCCACCGTGTCCACTTTCTCTTTCCCATCTTCTGCTGACCTTACCACTTGGACATGCCACACCCCTGCTCAGTCTTGGCCACTGTCTGCCAGTCTCTCTCCTAAGTCCTCTTCCCTGTGTCTCCACCACCTCCTCTAAGTCCCTCCCAGGACTAGGGCGTCCTATGCTCCCAGCCCATTCTGAGGCCTGGAGAACTGGGTGGTCATCCTACCCCTGTCGTGCTGACAGGAGAGAGTCCTCAGATGCCAGATGGGAGGGTCACCAGGAGGAAAGAGGAGCACAGGCAGAGAGGTGGGAAGGTAGCAGAGACTTTTCCTGTTTTTATATTTTATCTAATAATATAAGTTGTCATTCACTGAGTTCCTGCATTGTGCTGGCCCTTTATATGCATGACCTCACATTAATACTTTGAGGTAGGGACTACTATAATACCCATTTTCAGATGAGGAAACAAGAGTTTAAAGAGGTTAAGAGGGACGCCTGGCAGGCATGGCTCAGTGGTTGACCTATGAACCAGGGGGTCGCAGTTTGGTTCCCTGTAAGGGCACATGCCCAGGTCGCAGGCTCCATCCCTAGTGTGGGGTGTGCAGAGGACAGCCAATCAATGATTTTTCTCTCATCATTGATGTTTCTATCTCTCCTTCCTTCCTCTCTTAACTCAATAAAAATATATTTTAAAAAAAGTTAAGAGGGGTGGAATAAAATGATGCCTTGGATCTCGTTCAAAATAATTGGAAGGAGGGGAGATAAGTAAGATGTAGATGAAACAGGATTGACCATGGGTTGATAATTATACAAGCTGGATAATGGGTATATGGGAATTTATTATACTATTGTGTCTAATTTGCATGTATTTGAAATTTTCCATAATTAGAAATGTGTTTTGTTTTCTTTTAAGTTGGGAAACTTGATCAAAGTCATACAAGAAATAAGTAATAAGATTGGGTTTAGATGCTAGACCTTCCTGACTTCAATGCTCGCTCTCTTAACCTCTCTACACGAATCCTCCCCAAAGTACCTAAAAAGACCAAGAGGAACAGATTAGTGATTTTCAGAACATTCAAAGGGGATTCAGAGGCCTCTTGACGAATTTCTGCTCCTGTTTTCCAGACACATCATGGCAGGGATCAATAGAGTATGGCCAGATATTAATTCCCCATGCCTAGAGCTTATTTTAAAGATGCCCTCATTTTCTCTGCCTGCTTCTGAGAAGGTAGGTGCAGAAGCAGCCTGTAAGAGTCTTTGGCAGCCAAAGTTTTCTAAAAACACCCAGGCAACAGCTGTCCCTGTGCTGTCACCTGACTTGCCAGGCCCTGAATCAGCACCACTCCCCACCCAGCCCCCACTGCTCAGCCAGATCTGACTTGCCCTTTCAAGGCTGGGCTG